CTCTCCGCTTTTTCCAACCAGTCCCAGCATCGGCAAATAATGCACGAAGTGGAATTCTCTGGGACGACATTCTTAGAACATGTCCAAGCCACCGAAGTCGATGTTTCAAGATGCTGACATCAATTGGATGCCGAACCTCTGCATTACTAACATAGTGTTGCCACTGAATGTCAGCAATCCTTCGGAGACAACGATGATGAAACACAGAGAGTCGTCTAACATCCTGAACTCGGAGAGACCAGGTTACACAAGCATAGAGTAGAACTGCTCTCACCGACGCGTTGTAGATCCGACCTTTTACAGCCAGACTAACATCACGAAGGCGCCAAAGATGGCCCAGATTGGCATAAGCCGCTCTGGCTTTCACTATACGTGCATTGATCTCATCACTCACGTCATCACCAGCACTTATGCAGCTACCCAGATACACGAACTTTTCGACTACTTCTATCTGCTCACCATCCAGGGTGAGTACAGGATTAGAATGCTGTTAGTCTTGTAGAAGTACTTTGCACTTCGAAGGTGCAAAGCACATACCAAACCTATGGACACTGATTGCCAACTGATTAAGTGCGGATTGCATGGCTTGAGCATTATCGCACAGTAAGACAATATCATCCGCATACTCAAGAAGTCTTTCTCCAGGCAACAGATCCACACCGCCATTACTTACATCCATCAGAGCTGTTTCCAGAATGTCGTCGATGGCAAAGTTGAAGAGGAATGGTGAGATTGGGCAACCCTGTCTAACCTCACTGGTTGAGTAGAACAATGGAGAGAGGTGGTTGTATGCCCTCACTCTGCCTGAAGTGTCTGTATATAGGGCTTTTAGGATGTTAATAAACTTCTCAGGCACACCCTTCTTCAATAGACAGTCACAGAGAACAGTCCTGTCCAACGAATCGAAGGCAGCCCTGATGTCAAGAAACTACGATTGTTGGCCTTTGATAAGTATGGCGGTGTTCTAACATTTGGCGGAGGGTGAAGATATGATCAATACATCGTCGACCAGAACGAAACCCAGCTTGCTCCTCGCGAGTCAATCTTTCTCGGGTATGACGGAAGCCAATAGCTTGGATGCAATCGCCAGCAAGTCACCATCATCTTTAAAAAGAGCCGGAGGTAAGTCATCTGGGCCCGGTGATTTGTAGCGTTTCAAGAGTTGGAGTTCCTTTCGGACTTCCGCCTCATTAGGTGGATCAGTCGTCACCGGCCATGGAAGGCAGGGCAGGTTGACCGATGTTGCTGGAGCAGCAGGCCAGTTGAACTGCTCTTTGGAGAATTCTGCACATCGTCCAAGACGTTGATGGATGTTAGTGACTGGCATCCCGTCATCCTCGTAGATTGTTTCACTCACACTAGACCTTTAACTGCCAATGGCTCGGATAAGTTGGAAGAGATTATACTGAAGTCATAACGATTAGAAGGCATACATCAGATCTCATTTAAAGGACTAGTGTTTTCAGTCAAACACTGTCCAGATGATTCCTGTTTTTCCAGTTCATCACTGCATAACATCTTGTTTCATATCCGCACTCAACTTCCAATCTGAGCTCTATTAATCAATTAGTGTTTACAGTAATGTTAAAACCTTCCAAATGCTACTCAGTTTCTGTTAAATAATGTTGCTTATCTATTAGGTAAAGGCTGTTGTACGTATCTTTGGATCGTAAAGTTTTGTTTTTAAATGAGAACTAGTAATATTACTCGGTTCCATAGATTGAAATAGCCTGTAACCTATTGATCGCAAGCTAAGTGCATTAACCATTAGTTCACCAATCTAATTGACACTATTCACATACAGATACTAAAAAATCTCAACACTTTATAGTTATACTCAAGAGGTATTACTAAGCTTCGTATCTTGGCTTTCAACATATAAACAACCATACTTATCTAGTCAAGTAATTAAGAATAAGCTATAAATGACATACTCTTGACATAACTTGTTGTCTGAATGCTTATTGTCTTGGCTCTTTTAATACTACATTTTGTATCTGATCGTCGCTGATTGTTATGTCGGAAACGCTTATTACTTATACTCGGAACGAGGAACCTCTGAAATTCCCACGACGCAAAAGTAAGAACACAAAGACTGGTATAAGTGATGATTTACTAACTCCAAAACACGACGACGTTGACAACTCTAGTCAAAAATACACTCTTTTATATATTGTTCGTGCACCCATTTTAGATTAATCATTAGGATGAAATCACATATATGAAAAGTACTTAGAGTTATAACAAATCACATACTGACCATAGTTCATGTCAATGGAATACAAGAATATCGTTTATTATACAGAATATCATACGACAAAAGAAAGCAAATGCTTCACTGAATGATCATCGCACTGAATCGAAACGGAAGTAATCATGACTTTTCTTTCCATCATATCAAACTGTAATGACAAAAATTTCAGTCTATGATTGAAAGTTGCACAAATCACTTCTAAATGATGCATAGATATGTGTACTTCTATTCAATAATGAAATACAAGATCAATATTTGATAACAATAAGATGGTAGATTGAAATAATTTCTCGTAAGCCAACATAATATAGATCGGATATAACAGGGCATAGTCGTTCAACAAGGTTGATATATTGTAGTGACATCACAAACTAAATGCTAAGGTCTTGTTTATTGTAATGCTTAAACTTTAATTAGATACACCATACCATTATAATTAGATATAGTTTGTTCACAATTGATGCCTAACTAAATTAATAAAAGTGATTCAGATTTATTCATACAAATACATATTGGATTAGATAGAGTAATAATTCACAAAGTGAAATATTCTATGCACTTCATATACCTCTGTAATACATTCAGTACTCATTCAAGGTCACAAAGTTGACGATCAGTCAAACGAATATGCGCGCAAGACCGATCAATCCTGGGTTCGAATCTCGCGAGGCGAGATCGTGGATGCACACTCCTAAGAGTCTCACAATAGGACGGAACGGCTGTCCAGTGCTTCCGGGTTTTCCAAGGTGGTCTAGCTTCAGTTGATTCATGATCTTAACTATTGAAATATGGGACTGTTGAGAAGTGCATACTCACAACTCTACAAAAGATAGGATCTTCGGTCATGTATCTATCGCGTTAGTTATCCTTAGATTATCATTGTTTTTATTGGTTGAATACCATTACGTTCCGTATTTTCGTAGTACCAAATGGAATGTGATCTAATGTTCGGTGAAAACAACTCATCATTCTACGATTGATGTCTACCTATTATGTAGAAATATCGAAACCAGAACCTTAAGATCTCACAGGATGTTAGTTGGAATCTCATATTTTCAGCTTTAGTCAATTCAAGATCGCTGGTGATGATTAAACTCCAACCGTCACTTCCATTCACATTTTTCCGTTTTATCTGAATTGACGGAGGGTAGTCTCAACATTCAACTTCACACCTTGAAATGTCCGTGAAATCTTGTAGTGACAGTAGAATATAGCGAATAGACTGACGTTAATAATGTGAACTATGGTATTCCAAAGTCATTGGTAGGTGTTCTGGTTTTGATGTTAAGCGGTTTCACAGGTTCATACTGCTTCAAATTCAAAGACAAAGCACACCTGACCAATCCAGGCTGAATTTCAGTGGTTCTGTAGAAACGTCAGTACTCGGTATGAAAAGACTCTACTGATACTATCTAAGCTCAAACATGGTCCATTAAAACCCAGACTTTTATTGTCTAATGCACAAGGTCAATCTACAAATACAAATGAATTTCTAATTATATCATCTTGCTTGTAGAAGTAGCAAATAAATTTTTGCTTGACCTATCCAGTATTAATGGCTGAAATAGAGAATAATACGATGTAGTTTGAAGTTATTGTAGGGTCATTTGAGACATACAGTACCAGCCGTACAAGGAACAACAATTCTCCACATCCCATTTTAAACTAACTGGCGTATCCATCCGTAGAACAGTTAATGTAACTTAGTTATTGAAGTTTAAGCCATACTATTTTACATGATAGCCACTCAAAACGAAGTACACTATTTTTATTTATTTGAACACATAAGTATTGGTACAGAGGGGCATCGAGTACATATGCACCACACAAGTCACTTGATTTGTGTGTGGGCTGTGTTACGGCCTGGATACCCAAACCAAAGCAGGTGGTTTTCTTAGGCCACATCCAGAGCCTTCAACCTAAATGTCTGATCCGCAACGCAGTGGAGCAACATCAGGAGGTGCAGTCCCATGGTAGCCGATGATCAACAGTAGGTCCCCACACCATTTGTTCACTCAGGATTCTGGAGACCATGTGCACCATTGGTTTGGAATGAGGGTTTTCCAACTCCCCTACGTGGATTCTCTCTATCCACCAACCTGGTTAAAGCGCCAGATATTCGCTTTCCGCCCTCTCAATTTCATAAACAACAGTAATGCCGCGAGAACGCAGTGAGTAGGACTGCCTTGGTAGTGGTTGTATACGCGTGGCCATGTGAGAGCATTTCGAGAGAGAGCTAACTCTTCCCACTTTCGGCTTTACCAGGGCATTTGGAGGTTACACGAACCATTGTTTGGACGTACAATTGAACAATTGCAAGTAGAGTGCTTTAATCTCTCAACCACCACTATTTGAATGCATAACCTCGTTACCGATAAATCAAGTATCTAACTTACAATTTATATTTTATAAAAAGTTAATTTAACTTATTCGAACACCAGATGTAATGCTATCAAACCACAAACTATGAGATGTTACATAACAGGTATAAATTCACTACAATGTTCCCTAATGGATAATCTCAGTATAAAAAGACCAACACAACAACAGATCACATTGAACTCGGACTAAATCAAAGCCAACTATATGTTCAAAGTAATTATTAATTATTAAGAATAATTTTCCAATAATAATAATAGTAACTTAGATACAAGGATAGAAAAAAGAACTAATATAAAAATGCACAAAAGTATGAAATGCATATGATATATATAATCTATCAGTGACATAATAGGGGGGACGTTTATATTGATGATATTGTGTTCAGGAAATATCATGAATACTCTCATCTATAGTAGTGAACCATTCAATTTCAAAGAACAAAACTTGATCTAAATCATCTATCACATATATCATTTGAATAGATCTAGATGGAAAACAGAATTTCAAGTAAGAGAACTATCTACAACAAATCTTAATAGATCTATATGCATGATGATGATGAGATTGTTCATTGTCTTGGATACAATATATTAGTAAATAGATGTAAAACTTGTTTAATTTCAATTGGTGTAATAGGTGATGTTAAATTAATATTTAATTTTTGTCGATTAAATAAAATCATATCAATTATATCTAAGATATCACCATTTAATAAATAAGCAAGTATATGTAAACCTTCATGAGGTGATGATGATGAGGATGAGGATGATGACCCAGATGATACTGTCGAATCGATGGTCAAAGATGATGACGACGAAGAGCAGAAGGAGGAGGTCGTAGTAGTAGTAGTAGTAGAACATGTCATACTATTATGTAACATTTTCAAATATTTTTCATTGATAGTTTTCAATGTAATTTTATTTTCATCATGATTATGATTATTATTCAATGTACAATAGTAAAACCAATAAAGAAATTTTTTTAAATTACATGATTTAGTTAAATTTAATAAACTAGCTGATTGTCTTAAACGATGAAATGATAAAAATTTCTCAATAGATTCATTACATGTCATTAAATCAATTCTTGTTAAACGTAATAATTTACCTTTATATAATTGATAATAAATTTGTTTGAATTTCAATGGATACAATTGCCAAAATGAATTATCCTTATGATGATGATGATGAATAGTTGGTAAAGGGATAGATAATTGATGAAATAATTTATTTAAACGTATCCAATTTGAATTGTTATGAGGGAGAAAAGAATTGAAACATTTAGAATTAGGTAATATATGATTTGGTTTTCTTATATTCTCATCATCATCATCATCATCGTCGTCGTCACGACCGTCATCATCATCATCATCATGATTATTGATAATGATGATAATTGTTTTTCATTCATTATACTTAATCCATTTGTTTTAATAAATGAACTAGTACATATTGTACGAAAATATTTTACAATTCTAATTAAACGAATTGGTTGATGTTTGCATAAATTTAATAAATCATATAATTCTGGTAATTTAGTTATGGATAAATAGAATAACATTTGATTAGCATTTATACGTATATAATCATAAATTAATTCTAATACAAGATCAGATGTATGAAATGATTCACCGGAACTAATTAAAATTTTTTGTATGATCTCTTTAATAGAAGATTTTAAACAAGTCTGTAAAATGAATGTTATTTTTTAGAAAAAGAAAAGAAGAAAAAACAAACATTTTCTTACGATAAGACAACTAGGAAAACAGAAACTGTTATATATATATAACAACTACATCAAATTGAATGAAAAACAAACAAACAAACAATGGAATAATCGAAATGATAGTAGAATTACGAAGGATCAGTTCCCAAATATTAATCAAATGGGTGTTGGAAAACCAAATTATCATTTCTATTACTAATCCTTCCTCTCATTTACACAACAGAATTTTATGTACTTAGCTTTGAATCATCAAATTGTATCACGAGGCAAATCCTGAAGGGGAATAGAGAAGAGAAAGACTAAAGAATACACTGCATCGGGAATCGAAAGCAGACAATGAAAAGGATTGCCCAGAACAGAACTGGATGGGGAATGTTGGTGAGTGGCCTATGCTAACAGGCGTAAGGAAGTTTGAATCAAAATATTTTTGAGGGATAGTAATCTTACCAGTGGCTAAAAGGAATTAAGTGCGATGAGACTTGAAATCATTTCTCAAACGAACAGATTTTGAAACTAGGACATAGAGGTCAGAATTCGAACTTCTTAATAACTAAGCACTGACATTCCAGTCTTATATAGAGATCTTTTATATCACAGGACCATATCACAACGTGACAAATTGTTCGCTTTGTACACTCAGTCCCTGCATCGGTAAATATGTGACGTGGAAGTCGGCGAGATAACATTAGTATGATATGATCGAGTAGGTTATATATTCGAACTCCACCACCCTATCTTAGTCCAGGTAACTAAGTGGTATCACTGACACTGACATCGAATTTGAGATCTGAAGTTCAGTACAGAGATATCTGTTTGGCAAATACGCTACTTCAGTATCAGTTAGAATTGTTCATTACTACACCTGGTTATGCCTTACATTGAATGCGTTTTTTAGAAACAAGACCACTGGGATACTGTATACCAAGTCAATGAAAACATAACAGTTATAAATACGTAATTCATAAACTTACCATTATACAGTGTCATATAAGACAATGGGGGAACCAAGGAAATTCACGAGGTGTATGTAGAAATAATTCCGTAGGATAGATATTTCAAAAATAATTCGTTTCCAATGTCGTGATTAATATTTCGGTCTTTCTGTAGAAAACAAAAAAACGTGACACGAGTAAAAATCACATACAGTGGATAATCTGAAATTTTTTTCTTTTTGTAATTTAAAATAAGGCACTTAGTTCCGATGAAGGACTACTTTTTCTGAACTTTAGGTGGGAATGTCTTATCCGCAAGGATGAAGCAACACTAAGAGGTAAGATTCCATTATTGGTCATGATAAGACTAGGTTCATATTTTATTGGTCTGTCCAGATCCTGGGGCTTACAGTACGCGATAGGTTAGCAACCAAGGTAATTTAACTTCGCTACATTAACACGTCTGCCTAGTTTTGCGAAATCGGAGAGTAGAGCTTTCCTGGAAGAGGTTATAATTTGAGACCAAGAAAGTTTTCAGGGGTCAGACTTCTATCCAATGACTGCTGTTGAATAAAAATAACCGTTAAAAAGACTTAGGGTGAAACTATAAATTACGGACGACCTTTGAGGGACGCGAAAGTGACTTTGATGATGTCCACCTATTAACTAGCACTAAATGAGAATTACAAATCATTACGATGAATCAAAATTATGACTTCAGTCTTCAGTAATAAGGATAGGAGGTCTGTCGACCTATATTAATCCTTGCAGTTTGTAATACTGTGGAGGTCCAATCTCGTTTTGAATATATTAACAGATGCAGCTGATATTACGTGTTCCGGTAGAGAATTCCAGTAATTCACTACTCGGTGCGAGAAACGGAACTCCAAACGTAAACGGTTTGATCTCGGTTTTTGAACTTTCTTCGAATGTCCTCTCAAATGATCAGTCCTAGACGGAAGCAAAAGATAAGACATGTTAATACCAAGGTCATCGTTCAGTATACGATAGGCCAATATTAAATCACCCCTTATTCTACGGTAAGATAACGGAAATAAGTTAAGGTGTCTCAGTCTCCTTCATAAGATAGGCCAGATAGACCTTGTACCATCTTAGTAGCTCGTCGTTGGACTCTTTCTAGCATATCTGCTTCACATTTGAAACAAGGACACGCTGCTTGAATCCCGTATTCTAAATGTGGTCGCACATAAATCGGGTCAGTCAGTCAGCTACAACGTAGGACCAGGCACATATGTGCATCGGTCCAGGTTGCCATACCGCATCAGCACAACAAGATGAACACCGGATTCATAGCAGTGGTTAGGTCAAAGGTGGTAATATATAAGAGAAAGATTGCATATAGAGATATAGTACAAGAAGAAAGAATTGGTTCGTAGAAAGAAAGATATGAAGCGATTTTAATCTCTTAGTTTAAGGGAAGACAAGGAGTGTATACACCGACGCCATTGTGATCGATTCTGAGCCATGTCACCAAGAGTCTCCAACCATTGGTTACGAAAGTCACGCGGACCCCAACCAAGTAGTCTGCATCTACCAACATGGCTCAGACTACAAGTTAGTGACTTTAAGCACTGATGCCACGTTTTGGTTTGGCCGCCCCTAACTTTCTTCCAACCATCTCCAATACCGGATAGCATTGCACGTCGTGGTAATCGGTGTTCAGGCATACGTAACACGTGGCCAACCATCTCAGTCGATGAAGATTCATAACCTCATCAACTGATTTACCATCATTCCCTAATACACTGCGTCTAACCTCACTATTACTTACCCGGTGATCCCAGCAGACGCCAGCAATATTTCTAAGGCATCTGTGGTCAAATACTAGTAGCTTACGAGTGTCTTCTACTCTTAATGGCCGTTTCGCTGCCGTAAATTAAAACAGAACGGACTGCCGCGCAGTATACTCGTCCTTTTATTGATAGACGGATATCTCGCCTTCGCCACAGGTGACGTAAGTTGGCAAAAGCCAAGCGAGCTTTTCGAATCCGTGCTGAGATTTCGTCAGACACCAACCCATTAGGGCTGATCAGATATGTGAAGTTGTCAACGCGTTCGACTACTTCACTCCCTATCCTTAGTTCAGGTGTTAACGCAGACCAGTCCTGAAGCAACAACTTGCATTTAGAGGGAGAGAACGCATTCCAAACATCCTGGCATTGTTGCTCAGTGCTACCAAAAGACTCTGCATTTTGTCAGCGTCTTCACCAAACAGGACTATGTCATCTGCGTATTCTAAGTCGATAAGTGGACCTCCTGGATGGAGATCAATACCCGAGAACTCAGTCGACGAGAGTGTTATTTCCATCAGTAGATCTATGATGAAGTTAAACAAAAATGGGGAAAGTGGACATCCTTGACGGACACCACTTGAGGTTGCAAAGTAGATGACAGTTCGCCATAAGCTCTGACTCGACTAGTAGTGTTCGAGTAAAGAGCCTTCACAAGGTTTATGTACTTCTGAGGTACGCCTTTCAATGACAGACACTGCCACAGAATCTCGCGGTCTACCGAGTCAAATGCTGCTTTTAAGTCGAGAAAGACCACCATTGTCGGACGCCGATAAGTATGCCTGTGTTCTAGAATCTGACGAATGGTGAATATGTGGTCGATGCAGCCACGACCAGGTCTAAAGCCAGCTTGATTCTCTCGTGTTTGCAGTTCACGAGTCTTAGTTAGGCGTCTGATAATTATCGAGGCTAGTATTTTAGATATTATATTAGTTAAACTAATCCCTCTGTGGTTGTCACAGGATGATTTTGACCCTTTCTTATATATTGGGACGATGAGTGATTGTGACCAGTTAGATGGGATAACGTCTTATTTATTTATTTATTTATTTATTTGAACACATAAATATTGGTACAAGAGAGCGCCAATATATATGCGCCACACAAAACAATGAAAATTCGAAGAGAAATAGAAAGAGAAAAAAAAAACTAGGGAACGCAAAAGAAAAGAAGAACAATGACGAAGAGATTGGGGTAAGGTAGTGTGGTAGTAACGACGGAACGAAAAGGTACAATCAGAAGAAATCTTTCAGGTAAAGGAGACACAACCACTTTTTAGAAAGAAAGTAAAAGAGGGTTACAGCAGGATCGCCACTGGCTTCTATTCTGAGCCATATCTGATAACGTCTCTAGCCACTGTGTAGCACCATCTCTCGGACCCCAACCAGGGAGTCGTGAAGGACCAACACAAGCCAGTCCTTTGCAGCTTTCTTTCATGCCACGACACCATGTCATGCACTGACCACCTCTCCGCCTCTTCCAACCAGTCCCAGAGTCGGCAAATAATGCACGACGTGGAATTCTCTGGGACGACATTCGTAGAACATGTCCAAGCCACCGAAGTCGGTGTATCAAGATGGTGACACCAATTGAGTTATCATCTCTGTGCCCGAACACACGATGCCGAACCTCTGCATTACTGACATGGTGTTGCCACTGAATGTCAGCAATCCTTCGGAGACAGCGATGATCGAACACAGAGAGTCGTCTAACGTCCTCAACTCGGAGAGGCCAGGTTTCACAAGCATAGAGCAAAACTGCTCTCACCGACGCGTTGTAGATCCGACCTTTTACAGCCAGACTAACATCACGAAGGCGCCTAAGGTGGCCCAGATTGGCATAAGCCGCTCTGGCTTTCACTATTCGTGCATTGATCTCATCACTCACACCCCCACCAGCACTTATGCAGCTACCCAGATACACGAACTTCTCAACTACGTCTATCTACTCACCGTCCAGGGTGAGTACAGGATTAGAATCCTGCCAGTCTTGTGGAAGTACTTTGCACTTCGAAGGTGCAAAGCACATACCATACCTACGGACACTGATTGCCAACTGATTAAGTGCGGATTGCATGCCTTGGGCATTATCGCACAGTAAGACAATATCGTCCGCATACTCAAGGTCGAGAAGTCTTTCTCCAGGCAACAGATCCACACCACCATTACTTACATTCATCAGAGCTGTTTCCAGAATGTCATCGATGGCAAAGTTGAAGAGGAATGGTGAGATTGGGCAACCCTGCCTAACCCCACTGCTCGAATGGGATAAAGTCTAACTCTCAGATATTAGCTAAAATATTAGTCAACCTAATCGCTAAAATTGGACCACCATCCTTAAAGACCTCTGGAGCCAGTCCATCTGGACCAGCTGCCCTTCCTCGCTTCAGATTAACTATAGCCTTTTGAACTTCAGCAAGAGTTGGGGGACCTACTTCAATGTTCCATTCACTTTGTCTGGGAATGGAGGGTAGTTGTAGAGTACCTGAAGGCCAGCGGAACTGTTCTCTGAAATGTTCCGCCCATCGTTCTAAACGTCTGGACTGGGAGCAGATGAGAGTATCGCCTTTTTCCGATATAATCTCACTTACACTTGACTTATTAATTCCAGTTTCTTTTATTAGTCTGTAAAGCTGTCTTGTGTTCCCTATAGTCGCCGCCTTTTCCATCTCTTTTGCTTTCATTACCCACCACTGCTCACGGTCGTTTCTTAGACTTTTTCTTAACCTAGATCTGATTTGTTGTCGCTCTTCATCATGTTCGGAACCTGACGGGACGAGTTTGCGAGAATCCATCAGTGTGATAGACTTTGAAGAAATCCACTGGTTCTTTGTAACTCTGTGGTTTAAGTCGCTAATAGATGTCACAGCTGCTTGTATGTCTTTCCAAGCAACAACTGGGTCAGCTTCGTCTACAGAACTACCTAAGTGTGAACTCAGTTGTTCTTGGAACCTATTTTCTCGTTACTCAACTCAGTTCTAATGGGTCTTTTTTGCGTCCGGTGAGGCGCAAGCAGATGCGTGCCCGTATTAGGGCGTGGTCGGAGTCCAAGCAGGTACTCCAGAATGAGCGACAATCTTCTACCGACCCTCTCCAACGATGACTGATGGCAATATGGTCTATTTGAGTCCACCGTTGGTTTGGTGTAGGGGGTCGCCATGTTAGACGATGTCTCTCCTTATGCTTAAAATTTGTTTGCTAAGAATAAGCGATTGTCTGAGCACAGTTGCAG